GGGGACCAGGGGGATGCCCTGTGTTGTGACACGTGTGTCCCCTCTGTGTGCGTGTGGGGGTGGCAGGGGTGCGATGGGCACGTGTCCCCTCTGTGAGTGTGTGTGTGTGTGACACGCGTGTCCCCTGGCGGGATAGGTGTGTGACGGGTCCGTGTCCCCTCCATGTGTGTGTGTGTTGTGTGTCCCCTGACATGTCAGGCATGTTACAGGCGTGTGTCCCCCCTCCGTGTGCGTGTGACACACGTGTCCCCAGCGTGCCAGGCGTGTGATGGGCCCATGTCCCCTCCATGTGTGTGTGTGTTGCATGTCCCCTGGCATGTCAGGCATGTGACAGGCGTGTCCTCCCTCCATGTACATGTGACACATGTGTCCCCAGCGTGCCAGGTGTGTGATGGGTCCATGTCCCCTCCATGTACATGTGACACGCATGTCCCCAGCATGCCAGGCGTATGATGGGCCCATGTCTCCTCCATGTACATGTGACACACGTGTCCCCAGCGTGCCAGGTGTGTGATGGGTCCATGTCCCCTCCATGTACATGTGACACGCATGTCCCCAGCATGCCAGGCGTGTGATGGGCCCATGTCTCCTCCATGTACATGTGACACACGTGTCACCAGCGTGCCAGGTGTGTGATGGGCCCATGTCCCTTCCATGTGTGTCTGTGTTGCGTGTCCCCTGGCATGTCAGGCATGTGATAGATGTGTCCCCCCTCCGTGTACGTGTGACACACGTGTCCCCAGCATGCCAGGCGTGTGACGGGCCCACATCCCTTCCGTGTGTGTGTGCGTGTTGCCTGTCCCCCAGCGTGCCAGGCGTGTCCCCCCTCCGTATGCGTGTGACACGCGTGTCCCCGGCGTGCCGGGCGTGTGTCACACCCCCCCTCCGTGTACGTGTGACACACGTGTCCCCAGCATGCCAGGCGTGTGACGGGCCCACATCCCTTCCGTGTCAGTGCATGTTGCGTGTCCCCCGGCGTGCCAGGCGTGTCCCCCCCTCCGTGTGCGTGTGACACGCGTGTCCCCGGCGTGCCGGGCGTGTGTCACACGCGTGTGTGTCCCCGTGGCAGCTGCCGCCACAGGGCCGGCTGCGGGCGCTGTGCTCGCAGCACGTGGAGCAGCTCCAGGCCTTCCTGCGCCCGCGCCCGGGGGTGCTGCACGTCGCCTTCCCCCCGCTTTACCGGGAGCTCTTCGCCTGCGACCCCCCCGAGGGACCCCGTTGAGCCCC